ATGCAGTGCCCCTGGATGGTGAGTTCCGTCCCTCCCCTACCCAACCGAGTCTGCTAATACTAATTGTAACGCACCCAAAGATTTACCGGCGGATGAGCAACTGCGCCAGTTGTGGGCCGGCAAGGAGCTGTGGACAGTGCAGGAGATACGGCAGATCATCAGAAACTGGCAGGATAAAGACTTTAAGGAGACTCCGACGCAGCTACTCAACAGCTTTCTGCGCCTGTTCTTTGCGTTTGTGCAGAACAACTGCACCGGACCCTTCGACAAAGTCGCAGACTGCAAGCAAATGCTAAGCCAACTGCAGTTGGAGGCATTTGAGCCACAGGAGCAGCTAAAGGCCAGTGGCGAGGAGTTGAATCCCAACGTCAAGACAGGCGAACTGTTGGTTGTTGCCAGGGAAATACTGCGAGGTTTGCTGGAAGCTTACCCCGCCTCACAGGTAGGGAAGATCTGAATATTTGTGAGCTATAATTTCAAAGTCAGTCCCTCCTATAGGTCCTGGCCGTGTGGAACATACGGCTGATTTGCCAGCATCAGCTTATCATGGACGATCTGGCAGCCTCCCTCTACGAGCAGTTCAAGGCGTGCGCTGTTGTGCTGCGGCCCCAAGCGAAGCAATTTGCCAGCCGGGAGCTGCAGTGTCTGCTGCTGTTGGAGCTGGCCAACGGCTACCTGCTGTTCCATCGCTCCGAAATGGCCTCCCAAGTTCTGGATGAGCTTTGCGCCCAGCTCCAGGTGGAACTGAAAGTCGAGGGTTTGCTTGGCGTGCGAACAAAGTTCCAGCAGAAAGCCTTGCCCCAGCTCTGCCTGAAAGTGGAGCAGCTGTCGGAGGAGGCAACCAGTCCCGACCTGCCGGCGGCTGCCGACACCAACAGGCACACAAAGCTGCCCAAGCTGCTGCTCCTGGAGGATGATACACGGCTGGAGCGTATACGCTTCATTGAGCCAAAGGACAATGATGTGATGACTCTGCCCAGCGTTCTCCAGGTCCTCGTACTGGCCAAGGTGTGAGTATTGATAGATCAGTAGGACAAGATACGACCTCTTCTTATCGCTTATTTCTCCGACAGCAAACAGTTGAAGCGCTCGCAGCCCAAGGACCGCCTGGCAGACGAGCAGCTGGAGCCGTACACACAGACGTTGCTCTACCAGGAGCACGGACCCCTGCAAGTGCGTCAGGCAGCCTTGCTATTGAACTGCCTGCAAGAGTCTGGCCAGCGCCGGACTGTGGAGCGTAGCTGGAAGCAGTGCGAGGAGTGCGTCAAGCTGTTGGATCACAATGAAGAGCAGCAGTCGCTCCGGTCTAGGCTATCGTATGGATTTGCGGCTCATCTACAGCCCATCTGGCATGTGCAGCTCCAGCTGGTGGATCTGCTGCGCTCCCTGGGAATGACCAAGACTGCTCTGGACATTTGCCTGAAGATTCATGCCTGGCAACAGGTGATTGACTGCTACACCAGTCTGGAGCTGCGTCACAAGGCAGCGGAGATTATACGCCAGGAGCTGGAGAAGAAGCCCACGGCGCTGCTCTACTGCCTTCTGGGGGACGCCATCGATGATCCGCAGTGCTACGAGCAGGCGTGGCTGCATTCCAAGAAGACGAGCAGCAAGGCCCAGTCCTACTGGGGAAACTACTTCTACCGGAGGGCAGAATACGCCCAGGCCTTGGAGCACTTTCAGCTTTCGCTTGAGATCAATACGCTGCAGGAGTCGACGCTCCTGCGCTGCGGCTACTCTGCGATGCAGCTGGAGAAATGGGAGGCGGCCGTTAAATCGTACCTGGCCTACACCCACCTGGAAGCCAACGGGTTCGAGTCGTGGAACAATCTGGCCAAAGCCCTGATCAACCTGGGCGACAAGCAGCGAGCGCATCGCGTGCTGGGCGAGGCACTCAAGTGCAACTACAGCAACTGGAAGGTGTGGGAGAACTACATGCTGGTGGCTGTGGACACCGCCCACTGGGACGATGCCATGCGCGGCTATCAGCGTCTGTCCGAGCTGAAGCAGCACTACCTCGACCAGGAAGTGCTCGCGAGAATCGTGTACGGCATAGCCAAGCAGCATCAGGAAGCATCCTGCCAGCTGTTGATCAAGCGGGTTGTCCAACTGCTGGGTCAGCAGTGCATTCAGCATGGAAACGAACCCCTGGTCTGGGAGCTGGCTGCGGTGGTGGCAGCCACACCGCTAAAGAAGGCCGAGCGGCTGGTCAAGTCGTATCGGGCCTACACGGCCAAGCATTTGGGATGGGAGGTCAAGGCAGAGCATGCCCAGAAGGCGCTGGATCTATGCCTGGAGGTGGCCGAGTTGTCTCAGGCGGCGGTGCAGGAGCATGCCCCGGACGAGAGTGAAGTCATGATAACATCCACACTAAACTCGGCTCGCCTGTCCGGTACATCCTGTCTCAATGCCCTGCGGCGGGCCATCAACGTCAATGTGCCGGCAGAGCAGCAGGAGAAGGTGGAGCAGCTGGACAAACGGATCGCAGATCTTACCCAAGTGGTGCAGCAACGGATGAACACTCAACGTTCGGTTTAGCCTGACTCTGGCCTAGATTTAATCTTAGTTATACATACTTAGCTGTGCATTTGTGTGTCTGTCTGGAACTGAAGGACTTCTTGGACGTCAATTGAGTGTGGCAAATGTTGCCGTATTGTGTTGAAGTGTTGCAAAGTAAAGGGGCATCGAAAACAAACAAAATGATTTAAAGTACGTTCAGCTTGGTGGTGATCAGGACCCGGACGCTCTGATCGAAGGCCCCACAGACGGCCAGGCCCAGCTTGTCCGGATGCCAGTCGAAGCAGTGCACGGGCTGGGAGCTCAATGTGGCCGCGCTGACCATGTGCAGAGTACCAGCCACGCCCGATTTGGTGCCATCCGCATCCTCGACGACTCGCTTGTCGGGATACTCGTATTGCCAGAGGCGTATGGAGCCCGTGCCACCGCCCGTGAGGAAGATATCGCGATTCTGGGGCAAATGTCGAGCCACCCAGACAGTCGCTTTGGGGCCGCTGATGACACCGTTTGTGCCCACGCTACGGCCGGCATTCCGCTCCTCCACATAGCTGAATCCCTTGGTGGGATGCTGGTGGCGCATATCGTAGACGAGGAGTCCTCCCTCCAGCGTGGTTACGGCCAGCTTATTCATAGGAATGTCGCGGCGATCAAACTCGAGGCCACAAATGCCGTTCTTCATGGTCGCCTCCCAGCGCACGGAGAGCGAGCGAAGATCGAAGAGCTTCAGGTCGCCGTTGTCATAGCCAGCCGCTACGATTCGCTCCTCGGCGTTGAAGGTATTGCCAAAGGCAACGGCCCAGCAATCGCGCCGGCCGCTGCTTTGGTTGATCCCGTCACCCATTTGCGGTGGCGGTGAGATGTCAACCACAGGAGACTGTCCCTGGCGTATGTCCCACACCTTGACGGCACCATCGCGGCTGCCAGTGACGATTTCTGGGGCGCCACAGTCGAGCTGGTTGCCGCCAATGGCATCGATGGTATTGATGATGGCGGTGTGGGCCTTTACATTGTACACCGGCAGTTCGGGACGCTCCATATCCCTGAAAAATGTAGGCATATATGAACAGATCTAGCAAGTGGTTCCTGGTGTTCTTACAGCACTTGCAGCCTGCCCTCGAAGTCTCCAATGGCAATGTGACGGTTGCGCAAAGACGAGGCGCCGAATGTGCCGCACTTGAAGGCCACCTTCTTCTCGACAGTCTTCACCTTGACCAGCTGGTCCTCGTTCAGCTCGTAGATGTCCATAATGCCATGGCTATTCGCCTTTGAGCCCAGCACCACAAACTTGGCCGAGAGTGGAATCCATTTTGTGTCGTACACCGTGTAGTTAACGGACGCGTTCAGGTGCTCAATCAACTGGGGCTTGTCCATTTTGTTCGTTTTCTAATTCAAGCCGAGCCTGATTATGAAAAGTGAACGGAATTTCACAAACAACTTGTTCAAAATGCGTTGCCATAGTTTTTAGCTCAGAAGTGCCGGCGGGAGTGAGTTATCGATAATTCGTACTGGGTATTCCTGAAACTGTCGCAAGCATCGTTGGACTGCTCTAATGCGCAATGAAAAGGAAGGAAGCAGTGAAAAGTTAGCCAATCTAGTAGAAAATTAATTCATCTATCGGATAAAATTATTTGTTTAGGGCTGAGAGTCCCAGCTAGCTAGTAATATTAAACGGAATATCAAAATCGAGGAATATCAACTTTAAATGTTTTGAAAAAACAATCGATACTATCGTGATAGCTCTAATATTTATTAAAAAACCATTCAAACCTTTTAGGAACTTGTCCATTGTAAAAATTAGATGCCACCTGTCGATGATTTGTTTAAAAATGTGTCTTCGTATCTTATAGCAGACAATCCAAACATATTAAAAGCGCAACGACTGTAGCTCGATACTATCATGATAGTCTCAAAACCATCGATAGTAAAGGCTAGCAGTAAAAACTATCGATAGTGCCCTCGATGGTTTGACACCTCTAGCTCACACGCTCAGTCGTTTTTGGGGCCGTTTTCGCTGTCGGTGTGTGTTCCTTTTACCGCGTATGCATCTTTTTTTGGCGCTCGTCCCCAGCAGCAGCAAGCAACAGCAACAACGACAAACTTTTACGTGTGTCGCAAGCGTCGCTTCTCGGCAATAAACAAAAACAAAAGCAACACAGCTACATTCATCGGGCGGTTGAATAAGAAGAAATAACAAAATAAGAGAATAACGGAATTGCCCGAAAGCACGCACGCCCAGCGCCAGCAGTCGGTGAAAATATAATAATTAGCTTTAATCTGTTGGCTTTAACATTTCATATGTGATAATTATGAAACAAAAAGTTCTTAAAGTTCGTAAAGGATTGTGAAAAGTGTTAATCAAATATTTTATTGGCAACAAGTGACACAGCAGCCGCAGCAGCAGCAGCAACAAAACCAGAACGGCTGCTATCAAAAGTTGAAGGTGACAACAATCGACAACGCGAAATACCCAGTAACTGCAACAACAAAAGCAACCAAACAGACAACGTAATTGTTTGGCAACCGAATCGAATACCAACCAAATTTCATTTACGAGTTGTTTCCGCAAGGTAAAAACACCAGAGATTCCTACATTTCGCTCTATACATAGTTCGCTGTTAAGTTCATTTCTGAACTCTCGTCTCTTCGCCCTCTTTCGATTTCTTGTCAATTTAGGCCAATCAAATTAATTGTACATTTTGCTCAGCTTTTTCATCGCCTTTATTGTTTTCATTTGCTTGACTCTTCCGTCCACCCCGTTTTCCCCCTCTTTTAGCCCTGACCATTGCTGTTGTCGTTTCTCTCTTGAGTGCATTCGCACTCGATACACGAGTCTGATTGGGGGCTCTATTTAATGTTGTTGTTTTTGCATTCCCTTTCATACCCATATGTATGTAAATGCATACATACTATATGCATGTCTATGTCGTTCTTCCCGTTTTGATGCTCTCTATGTCCGTCAGACTGTCGCGCACTATTGATGCTGTCGATGAGGGTTCTGCCTCCTCCTCCTACTGTACTCCTCTCTGATCATTATCTTTTACTGCCTTATGAACTTTCAATGATGGAGAAAAAGAGAGAGGAGTGGAACAGTGATGCATATTTCGTGATTGAGGCCGATCGTGATGATTGCATTGCCAATAAGAGATTCATATATATTTTAAGTTGCGAGTTCTATGTATATTTTATTGATTTGCGGGGGTGATCAATTCGTGATCTGCGTGGGGTGTCTCAATAAAGTTTTTGTACCTAAAAAAAACCCCCGCTAATGAGTACTTCCACAAGTATCTGGTTAGCTTCTAGATTGAGAGTTAAATTCAACTTTCCTTTATTTGCAAGGGAATGAATGCGTAATAAGGTACATAGTATGTATGTACATATGTATAATATATTTCCAGAAAAGTACATTAAACTGTCAACCAGTTAATTTATCAGCTGATTAGTCGATTCATTTATCAGACATACATATGTATGTATGTACGTGGGTCTTATCTACACCTTCGCCATTTGCCATTATCGGAGTGCAAAAACCCCTCTTCCACGCTCGTTACACCTGTTGTGCCTCGTTTTATTAGAGTTTCTGATAGCATTTCGACTAAAAATTGTACAGCTATGAGTACCTACTAATAACAGCTGGGCTGGTGGCGATTGCCAGCAAAAAATTCTAAGGTCGGTCGCGGCGAACACTGATAACACACGGAAAACTCAAACGTTTGCGCGTCTATTGAACACTGCTCCAATTAATTTTCATGTGTGTGTGGTTAAGCTTTCATTGCGCTGTCAGAAGTGGAATTCGTGCGTGCGCAAGTGGCAAATGTTTCGTTGCACATATTCAACTTCTCTGCCCGGCCCCGACCTCGCAATTATGCCAGTCAAGCCCTCTGAAAGCTATAGAAAATAAATAAATGCCGCCACCAATCGAAATCTAAACAAAGAGATATAAAAAATCTGCCAACTGCGGCGCACCAGAACTACTTCCCTTACTCCAAAGCAAACGAGAAGGAACGTGTGAGTCGCTTCTGGGGACGCGACTCTACTTATACCCGTACTCAGTCAGCATATACATTTTTAAGCATATAATTATTTAAAACTTAAAAAAAAAAAAATTTTACATTTTTTTGCTATGACTGTTATCTACATCTACATATACTATTTATATTATACATCTAACATGTATATTCTACATGTACCATTTAGATTCTACATCTCCTCCGCTAGGGGTTGCTCGCGCACTGAACGCGGCGGAGTGTGCGAGCGAGAAGGAAAATGAGTTGCGATGTTGTTTGCGGGAGGGGGGACAGGGGAAGCAACTGAAAATTAATTTCTTCATTCTGGCTATAATTATGATCCGATCTGATTCAGATTCGGCAATCTGGTAGATATGGGCATTCTCTACTATACTGCGTTTTAGTCTATCGTATCTTTAAAATTGTGGCTGCCACTGATTTTCGTCCTTTGTGGGGGCGGAAGGGGACGGGGCGAAATTCTGAAATACACTTGTAGCAGTGTGATATCACACGAGTGTGGAAACCAAATTTGGTTGCCCTAGCTCTTATAGTCTCTGAGATCCAGGCGCTCATCGAGACGGACAGACGGACAGACGGACGGACGGACGGACGGACGGACGGACAGACAGACATGGCTATATCGACTCGGCTATTGATGCTGATCAAGAATATATATACTTTATGGGGTCGGAAAATTTTCCTTCTCTGCGTTACACACATCCACTTTTACCACAAATCTAATATACCCCTTAACTCTTTTTTGAGTACGGGTATAAAAAAAACAAAGTATCAAAGTCCAGGCCACAAACAAATGCAATCTATATCCAGCAGATACGAAACGGAAGCTAAAAAACACTGCAAAAAAATAAACACATTGTATTATTGTTTGATTGAATCGAAAATGAGCGCGCGTCTCTCTCCCATGCAATAGTTTGACTCCACTGATAAGACTTTGAACCGCATCCAAACCCCGCCGAACAGTAGCCTACAATACTATGTACACCGGCCAGTTGGCAACACGAGTTGTGGAGCTCATAATGATTACTCATAAATTTTTGTTTGAACTTATTGCTTTTTTGCTTGGTTTGGGCTTGAACTATGCCAATTTTAGAGAGAAATTCCATGCAAAACTGATCTGAGTTTGCCCAACTGACTCACTCATTACCCCCCAAATACCTTTTCAGCGTTTGAGCACTTTGGGCACTGAGTCAGAATCGCATTTAGAAGCCAACGCACACCTCCCTAATCAAACCTAAACACTGTTATTATTATTTACCCCGCCGCACTCACTGTTTAACTTTCATATTATATTATATTATTTTATGTGGATTTGTGGTAGATTAAAGTTTATAAAAAAAATAAATCTCGCGTGCCCCCATAAATTTCCAGAGGTTGGCAAATATTTTACCCCAAAATAAGCACTCCACTCCGCTCTTTTATGTACTTGCACGTCCATCAACGTTTATCAAGATGAACCTACAGCAGCAGCAGCATCCACTGAAATCTAAATACGAAATATGGAATACGGAATAAGAAACCCCAGAGATCAGACAAATAAAGGCCCAGCTCCAAAATTAGTTTGCTTTATTCTATAGTGCAGAGAAGTCGCGTGGTTCATTTACGGAAAGGGCACACATACATACATCAGAGACAGAGTCAATCAACATGATTGAAGTGCGTACTACACCTAACACTAAGAGCTTCACTTCACTTTCATTTCGACACTGTCTGGTGCTACTGTCTATGACGTGATTGGAGCTTACGTAATCAATAATGTGATATCAATTTTCCACGCCTGAATGGCGGGCGGTTCCGTGGCTCGGTTGGGAACGGAACGTAACGATGTGTATTTAGCTTAGTGCAGCTATGTGAAGGCCACTCGAGACCTGATAAGGACAAGGGCTGCCCGCTCTATCATTCGACACCCGTTTGTGGGAGAGAGGGTTCGAATGGGAAAACAATGGTGGAGCACATCGCTGTGGGTGGCCTAGAGGGAAGTTTTGTGGCAAATCACAGCCACGTGATCTCGTTGAACCTATGCTCTGATGGTTCTGTATGTTGAAAACAATTTAATCATTCTCTCAATCGGATGAATTGCGGATTTTTGTCTCTGTTTCGCAGACTAAAACATTGATTTATGAGCTGCGATGGAATTGTTTGTGGCCTGCTGATAAGCTGATAGGCAAAGTGGACGACACTTCTGCTTCTGATAAGCAGCCTAGACGGGACGTCACAAAATGTCAGCCGAAAAAACAAAAATCAAACAAAAAACCAACCCCGACAGCTGTTCGTCATTAGTTGAACGCTTTAGCCATCCATCCAACCATCCCGGCCCCTGGTCATGTGTTCGGTTAAAGCCAATTGTTAGATTCCGTTTTTTGTACTTTACTCTTAACAGCTAGCCGGTTGGCTGGTAGAACTAATGGCATCGGATCGGAGAGAGAGAGAGAGAGAAAGAGTTTACGGAGTGGAGAGGCAGATTATGTGTTGAATGTTTCCACTGAGTCTTGACGCAATTCTTTTGGAAATTGCACTCCATAAATGCTCAAATAATGGGTAGATTGAAGGCTGGCTAATTGCATGGTCTATATCTATATATATTGTATCTAAGTTTCTGGCTGAAAACTATTCTTGGTGGGACTGAGGGTATTCAGTTTTAAGTCCCTTAGCTTGTTAAATATTCCCCCCACTCAGTGGAAATCTTTGCGCTGTTTCCTCACATTTGAAATGCAAATTTAAATGCAACAAGTGGCAGCTGTTGATCTGAGGGCGGCCTGCAATGTCAACGACTGCCCATAAAGTCCAGAATGATCTTGTGATTGATTCTACACGTTGTTTAACTGGTGCCTTACTACTCGCACATATTATATGTTTCCAGTCTCGTCTCTCAGTTTGCACGGTTTCCAATCAAAGCGTTGAACTTGACATTGCGGTCAAGTCGCCAACGGGTTTTTCGAGGAAAAAGTTGTGTAAATGTTGCTCTCGAAATATATATTTAAAGATACGACTATACATACATATGTACATATGTATGTGTGGATCCGTCTTATGCAGTTGCTTTACTTTGGATTATGGAGTGCGATTATGCGTACGTACGTATAATGGTCACTTGGCGCAAAACTGTGTCAGTCGGTAAAGCAAATGTTAAGGGAACTATAGAGATTGAGCACATGGCTTTGTTATGGAAATAGACATACGAGTATTCCAGTTTGTTAATTTTGTATATAATGATTTGTAATAGCTGCAGCTATAAGTCTGCCCTTAGAGGGTTCGCCAAATTCCATTAAACAACGTTCTGAATGATTTCCCTATTGTTTATGATATATCCCACAGGAGAAATCCCGTTTGATTGTTCTGGATTGTCCACATTCCATGCGAGGCTACACCCTGCCTTGGTTTTTTACCTGTTATTCCCCGCTTTAGCGCTTATTTGTTCATTATAAACCCTCTGCTATCTGTAAAGTGTATATGCCAACTCAGACATTTTCCATAAAGTTAATCCACCATTAACCGATTACTGTAGGCGATTATAGCTTAGGCCAATAAAGGGAACAGCACGCCACGTACAATATTCCCCCGTTGAATGCGAATTTCAGTTTCTTTATTGAACATTTAGCAAGTGGCTTTCGCTGGGAGTTGGCCTGGCCTGGCCTGGCCTGCCTGATTGGATGGAGGGGGACATCTTCAGCACAGACGTCAATATAACTATGCGCAATCAGACAACGACTACGACGAGTACAATAGATAACCGATGCGTGAATTGGCTGGCAGCCCTCGGACTCATGTTGATCAAATGATTTCATCAATTAGCATTCGCCATTGTATCTGAAACTGGGCAACGCTTCGGCTGGGAACAATGGCTTCTCTTTGAAGATCAGTCTGCCGTGATCGATGTTTCAGTTGCTTTTTGTCTGTGTGATAAGCTCAACCACCCCAGTCCCGGACTGGACGGAACACCCGAACGTAGAAGGTGATGCTAATTGTTGATTAGTGGAAGTTATCTAACTAAAAGGAGTATTGGGAAGTGTGTGTTTTTCTTGTGAAATACCTATTTTCGTATACCTGTAGTCTTTCTCGTACTATCTATTGACGTACTTTGATTACAGGGGGGTCCATTGAAAGTCAAATAATTAATAGGAACTCGAAATGGATGGGAATAAATGATTAAAATGTTGCTAAAAAATGTCCAGCGATCTAATGGCATTTCATGTCTTCATTAATCTGAGTTCAGCTCTTTAAAGACAGCATTTAAAGGTCAAACTTGGTATATAGATAGTAAATACTATTCATAATATTAATTATTGTTCTAACTGCAATTTTAGAAACCCAAACATCATATAAAATCGGTGGGCAGAGAGGCCTGGAAGCGTTTAAAAGACTTGCACGATCGCCAGCAAAGGCGACGTCGACTACTAACCCACGAGGATAATCCCATCCTATATACGAACATCAATAGCGAAGACGTAACCTTGTTAATACCTATATCTAAGAAGAGACTAAGCGGTGCAATACCCAAGCCAAAAGACGCACCCGAAGGGGATACTGAGGACACAGAGGACACCAACTGCTCCGTGTTCCAGCTAAGAGAGTCGCAATTTCAGCGAGATCTACGAATCCATCCCTACACAGACACCAATGTAGCACGTTGTGGTGGAGGGAAACAGAGAGTCCAAGAAGTAGCAGAAGATATTGCCATCATGCCTAGCGATAAAGAGAGTCAAGAGTGAGTACAGCAGAACAGGCACAAAACCCATTGCAAAACAATCACAAATATACTCCTGATCTTTCCAGAACCAATCCCCTGAACAATAACAACACAAATGGAAATGGAAACGGAAGTGCAGGTGGCAGTGGGAGTGGCAATGGGAGCACACAAAGCAAACCAAAAATCCAGCCCAAGTACAGCATCCATCGGGATGTGCTCACCCACGAGTTGGTCATCAAGGAGACGGGCTACGCGGCACGCGACAAGAGCATACCCTCGTCCCTGCGCAGCTGCTGGCAGAGCTGGAACTTCTTCGCACTCTTCACGGGCGTGATACCCATCCTGCAGTGGCTGCCCAAGTACTCGCTCAGGCGGGATCTCGCTGGCGATGTCATTGCCGGCTTTACGGTGGCTATTATGAACATCCCTCACGGCATGGCCTACGGCCTCCTGGCCGGTGTCTCCGCTGGCAACGGCCTATACATGGCTGTCTTTCCGGTGCTGGTCTATCTGCTGCTCGGCACGTCCAAACACATATCGATTGGCACCTTTGCGGTGGCCAGCATGATGACGCTTAAGGTGGTGCAGACTTACGCCACTGTGGATTCCACGGGCTCCCCACTGACGGCGCCTACGAATGTTACAATGACAGGGGCGCCCCTGCTGCTGGCCAACGCCACGGCGGCGAGCCTTACGCCGCCGGTGGATGTGATCACAAACCTGGAGGTCGTCACATCCCTGGCCCTGGCGGTGGGCATTGTAAATGTGAGCATTCCTCCCTCCTACTTTTAACTGCCACAAAATTTACTTATTCCCCGTTTTCTTTTCTTTTAGCTGTTGATGGCCTTCTTAAGACTGGGCACGCTGGCCTCCCTGCTGAGTGATCCGCTGGTGAATGGATTTACGACGGCGGCCGCCTGTCATGTGGTCACGGCGCAGCTGAAGGATGTACTGGGCATCGAGGTGGAGCGGTACAAGGGCGCTTTCAAGATCGTTTACACGCTGATCGATGTGGTCAAGAGCGTGCCGCAAACGAATCTGGTCAACTTTGGCTTCTGCGTGGGCGTGATCGTCTTCATGGTGATATGCAACGAGTGCCTGAAGCCGTACCTGAGCAAACACTGTCGCCTGCCGCTGCCCGCCGAGCTGATAGCCGTGATTGGTGGCACCCTGATCTCGAAGTGCTTCGATCTGTATCCGCAGTTCGACGTGAAGCTGGTGGGAGTGATACCCAGCGGTTTGCCGGAGCCCGTTCTGCCGCGCCTCGATCTCGTGCCGAAGGTGGCCCTGGACTCGATTGCCATTGCCGTCGTCACCTATTCGATCATCATGTCCATGGGCCTCACATTCGCCCGCAAGCACGGCTACGAGGTGCGCGCCAATCAGGAGCTCTTTGCCATGGGCATTGGCAACATTGTCGGCGGCTGCTTCTCCTGCATACCCATGGCCTGTTCGCTGTCACGATCGGTCATCCAGGACCAGACGGGCGGCGTGTCGCAGATAGCCTCCCTGGTATCTGCCTCCCTGGTGGTGGTCACCCTCATGTGGATTGGACCCTTCTTCAGTGACCTGCCACGGGTAATTATATGCTCTTTAATCTTCATTTAAGCATGTTTAACTCAATGTGGACTGTCTCCTCCCCCCCTCCAGTGCGTTCTTGCTGGTGTGATCATAGTGGCGCTGAAGCCGATGTTCATGCAGGCCAGGGAGCTGAAGAAGTTCTCCAAGCAGGGCAAGCTGGAGATGTTCACCTGGATATCCACCTTCCTGTGCGTGGTGCTCATCGACATAGACATTGGGTAGGTCTGAATTACAGATAGACTGGAATCTTTGTTAACCCCCTCCATTGGCAGTCTGCTGATCGGCATCTGCATCTCTCTGCTGGCTCTGTACATTAAGGGCCTGAAGCCGTACTCCTGTCTGCTGGGCTACATGCCCGAGTCGCCCGGCATCTACATGGACCTCAACCAGCACCGCAACGCAATGCAAGTGCCCGAGACGCGGATCTATCGCTACAGCGGATCCCTCAACTTTGCCACCAGTCTGTTCTTCCGTCGGTCGCTGTACGAGGCGGTCGGCCTGGACAAGATGCCGCTCAGCAGCCCCAGTCCGAGCAGGACGGCAGGCAACAAGTCCAGCTATTCGCCTGTGTCGCAAAACGGGGGCAAGGCCAACAATGGCCAGCTCGTGGAGGCTTCGGACATGTTCAAGATCCTCATACTGGACTTCTCCATGCTGGGACACATAGATGTGGCTGGCTGCCGCACGCTCAGTGACCTGAGCAAGGAGCTGAAGGTGAGGGGAGCACGTCTCCTGCTGGCTAGCCCCGTGGATCGGGTATACGACACACTGGTGCATAGCATGGCCCTCAGCGAGGGCCCCTTCGAGATTTTTCCCACCTTGCACGATTGCGTCGAGTATGCCAATGCCTGTCGAACTGCGTGAGAGTCGTCGTCCCCACGCAGGGACGATGTGGAGCGGGGAGCACGCGTTTTGTGATATGTCCAAGTGATAGCTTGCGAATCGTAGCACCAAAACCCTTTTCTAGCTGCTAAGTCCTATTTTAAACTGAATGCAAACAAACGTAAGCGTCAACAATCAATCGTAAGTGCGCGTAAGTGTCTCCTCAAAGAGTTTACAACAACCCAAACGCCGGATACAATAATAGATTTTGTACTTAAAGTCAGGTCAAGCACTTAAGCACCGAAGACACGATCAATTTATTTATTGATTTTGCAATGCAATTTGTACCAAAATGAACACACAGTTAGATCCTAAGGATATGTAAATTGTACATAAATATAAAACTGAAACTGTTATCATTTATATAGTGACGGGGTTTTGTGCGGCTCTTTCGATGCTCTCAGCTGATTTCAAGATTATCTTTCATATCATGTTCATCCCAATCGATCAAGGATATTATTCCGATCGCGAGAAGCAGTGGTAGGCGCAGATCGGCCAACAAATCATGCTTTTTGATTCCGATCGACAGTCTGGATCCTCAGGATCTGCCCTATTTGGCCGAGATGTAGTTTATGGAAGAACAACCAGTATTTTATGTGATGCGATAATCTCGGCTGTTTGTTGACCGTTTTGGGCGGGCCATGAACAGGAGAATCCCGCGCTATTTTTTAAAAGATAGGCCAAAAGATATACCAGCCTGAAAGCATGCACTACTTTTTTAATAACGCCAAGCCCAAAAGATACTTCATAAATTTGACTACTCGAGCACAATATTCCTCGATTTTGATATTCGGTTTAATATTACTAGCTAGCTAGGACTCTTCGAACTAAGCATTTAAATTTATCACATAGGAGAATCAATTTAGCAGGAGATTGTCAAGTTTAAAGGACTCCCTTTTATTTTATTTTATTGCTTTTCAATAAATTTGTTAAACACGTCGCTGTTTTTGCTTGGCTAGCCAGTGCTGCAAAACATACAATGGAACTATCGATAGGAAACCCGCATAAATTCAAACAGAAAGGCGCCAAGCTGGGTACAGATAATATTCAGCTGTAACTGAAACTATCTTTTTAGTCAATTAAAATTGTATTCATGCACAGATCGGATGGATCACTGTAAACGAAGTATTTAAATGTGTCAGATCGACAGACATATTCTGCCTGGCCACAAATATCAAATATGAGAACTGATTGAAATAACATTCACACAAAATATGATTCTGACGTGGCAGAAGCTTGGCTTTCTTCTGGCTATCGTGCTGCTCTACACACTGCACTGGACTGCCAGCTCGAGGGAGACTCTGCTACCGGGTGGGGACAACTACAGCCGGGCCTCGTTGGAGATGTGTGGCCTGGAGTTCAGCCACTGCTACTCCATCTGCTGGCTGCTGTTCCAGCTGACGCCCTGCCCTTTGATGTCGCTGCTGGTGCTCGTCCTGATAACCGGGTCTTTCTACTACGCGCTGTTCCTCGCCTTTGGGTATTTCGATTGCCCCCGCACTCGTCAGCGGCACGCGATTCAAGTAACTCAGATCTCCCACAAAAGGCTCCTCAACCGAACAGCCTCAAGCACTGCGGAGTGTTCACTGATGGACACACAGCTTGAGGGGCAAACTGGCACGCCACAAGGGGCCTTAGATCCACCTCCTGTCCAGCCGAAGCCGCCGCCTCGCAATAGAAAGCGACAGGCACCCACGCCACCAGCCCCGAATCCCCACCCCAGCCCCAAGAATTCGTTTGGCTCGACATCGTGCCTGCAGCGCTTCACGCAAGAAGCGCATCCTGATCTTTACAGGAGTCTGCGGCAAAACTTGCAACGAGCCCTGGATGGATTGCAGAAACCCCTTCCTACGCAAACACCGCTGCCGCTGCCGCTGCCGGTGCCGGTGCCGGTGGCACTTCCGCTACCCCCATACCCCACCCAATTGAATGAGTCCCTATCTGGGTACTCGGTCGCCCAGGAAAAGATGAAATCACGTCCCAAATTGCTGCGTGGGATATTGAATCGGCTCGGCGTAAGCTCGAAAAAGAGTCAGCGAGACAAAGGCTCAAGCAGCAGCAGCAGCAGCAGTATTTTACGGCCGCTCTGGCAGAGACTGAGACCCCGCTCCCGTGGAAAGATTGAAGCTGATACTCCACACAGCACATGCAGCTCCAGCTGCTCGTCCAGATCAGATGAGAGTCGCGTTATGTGCCCCACTGAACGGAGCCAGAGAACGGCTTGGCAGAGCAGCTACACATAGCTGCAGCCATAAGCTTCTTCCTGGACAGCGCGGCCTTGAATCGGTGTGATTATATTTTGTTACGATTAAAAGCAGTTTGGAGCGAACCTTGCTACCGTGCGGGACCTTGGGGCTGAATTTGGCTTTATTAGAACACATCCGGCCAGCGGAGGTCTCGACCAACAAACGAATTAAGCGACAAACCTTGTTCTCGCATCAATCATGATCATAGGAGGGGGGCAGGCTTTTGCGCTCGTCGACTGTTCGATTTGGTGGCACCGAAAACAGATTGCTATCGTCGCTCCATTTGTCTGGCAGCAATGGCAGGAAAGAAACCGAAAGGGAAAAATAAGACCCTCATTTCCACGGAAATTAACATAAGCTGCTCTGCGCAGTTCTGTTTGGGATGAGAGATGAGCCCACACCAGTGCAGAGCCCTGCTGCCAATTCCCAGAGTGGTCTGTTCTTTCTGCCGCAGCTGAAATTGTGGCCCACGTCTCTCTCTCAGCCCGGGCAAGGCCGTTGGAAAGTGAAAAGCAGCGAATGATTTTCATAATTTGTAGCTAAAAATTAAATCACGTTCCTTATCACTGATGTGGCGGTGTGGTGCGGTGCGGTGCGGTGTGGTGCTGTGCTGTGCGATTGTGAGTGCCTTTCTTTTTCAACAATTACCAAAATCGGAAAGGCGGCCAGCGGAATTACCAACCAGAGCAGCAACAGAAACAGCAACAATGAAATTTCACTTTCAGTTTGTGTGTGCGAGTAAATCTGATGTCGGAGAGGCATACAAACAAAAGACTTAAGGCACGAACTTGCCGCAGTGAAGGTTAAGCCATCCGATTTGATATTCAATTGGTACAACTTTTGTACAACTTTTGTACAACGGTTTCGAAAGCCAAGTCAAGCCAATGCACTCATCACACACGTTGATGTGTCCCCCTCGCCCACCTGAACTGCATAGCCAATGTCCCAAACATCTGAATGTCTGTGTGTCCCAAGATCACTTCTCATTTGGATCTTCCCATCCGATCTGATCCAAAGCGATCCCCTAAAGCCTCGCCTGACCGCTTTGGCAAACAGAGCGAAAAGAGTTTTCTCGTGAAAACTGGCACAGAATGGCAATAAGCAAAGGAAACGCAAACGCAAAAGCAAAAGCAAAGCCACCATCAAATGGAAAATGGCACGCAATGCAGTCGGCGCGGCATTAAAATGCACGCAATTAAGTCGCGACGAACAAATGATTTACAGTGAAAGGCAGTGAAATTTATGGGATGCCAGGACTGGCCACAGGCACAGGCCACAGGCAGAAGTGGCAGTTCTCCCGAACTGGCAGAACCCAACCGATACAATACAGCTTCAAATTCCCGAAGCTATCCAGTTCGTACTTTTCTTTTCTTTTCCTTTGAGCGCCATTTGTGCATGTCCCACTGATTGCTGCTGCTGCTTTTGTAGGGGGATTATGTCTGGGGGGATGTGGAGTCTGATTGGAGCTTGGGAAACCCTTTACATTATTCATATCCACACAAACACAATAATAAAGGTACCTATGCAAATGCAAATGCAAATGCTAAACGCCTGCTTTCTATCGTAGCGTCTTAATGGTTATGCGCTGCTCCGGCACTGCCCTGCTCCGTCTTCGCATTTTGTAAATCATATTTGGGATTTGCATCAACCGCAGCAGCGTTGAGGGTATGTTATGGCCAAGATGGCTATGGTTATGGCTATGGGTATGGGGGGGTTATCTGTGGCCAAGACGTTTTGCTGTCGCTGTGTGGTATTTTGTTTATATGCTAATCGAAACGTGTGTTGCTGCCTTACCAAATCCGTATCGAATTTGATAACAAATGGATGGCTGCTATCCCGTTTCCTATAACTCCCCCAAACTCTCAGACCCCCATCCCAGTCGACTGTCTGTTAAACTGTCTGTTAATGGCTAACAGAGGCTCTGGCTCTGGCTCTGGAGCTCCGCTCCGCTCTTTCCATCACCACAAAAGAGTGGACCCAACGGGAGCGCAGCACAAAGCTCATTTTCCATGCAGCTCACAGCGCCAGCTAGCTGCAAACTGAAACTGTAGTTTATGTTGCTGTTGTTGTTGCTTGTTGCTGTTGTTGCTGTTGTTGCTGTTGTTGCTGTTGTTGCTGTTGGAGTTGTGGCTGCTCTGTTGTGGCTGCTCGTTCGCATATGGGGCCACTCGTACGTGGCGGGTCTGTAGCCTAAACCTGTCGCTGTTGCTGTTGCTGCTGTTGCCGTTCGCCGTTGCTGCTGCTGCTGCTGTTGCTGTTGCCCGTCCGTTGCCTTGTCTTGACAGCGTGCTGTGGCCGCAGCGCTCGAATCAGTCTCAGTTTTCCAGTCCACCGTGCAAGTACGCAGCGCCAAGCGGTTCGCCGCCATCCAAAACAAAGTAAAGTGACTGTGTCCAGTGACAAATGCAAGGCTAGCCGAGCCCAAGTCTCAAGCCAAACCAAACCAAACCAAACCGAGAGTGACCGACCACAGCCGGTTGTCCGTCCAGTGTCCCTCAACCGTGTGCTACCCCCAAAAAATTAATCAGTTATCGAAGGATCTTTTCCAATTCGATTCGAGTCGCCGAATTGCCGTCGAAGGAGAGCTACTTGGTTACCTTGTGGGTATAAGCGCGCTCTGAGTGCCGGAGACCAGTCGAAATGGTGAGTGCAAAAGTGTGTCAGGCATCGGAGAACGAGAACCGAGCCGAACCTAACCGAACCTAACCGAACTGAACCGAACCGATACGAACCCATGGAGCGAACTATAGAAAATTATCATATTCCAAGCAGAACACAAAGCATGCCAAAGAATATTGAAAGTCCGTTGACGCAACGGAAAAATGAATGTTAAACAGGCAACAACAACAACAACAGCAGCAACAATTCAGGCAAAAGACTGGAACTAAGACAGAGACATAAAAGTGGCAGAGGCAGAAACAAGGGACAGGGGACAGGGGACAGAGGACAGAGGACAGAGGCAGATATAGACACATAGACAGAGACAGCGACAGAATAATGGCCTGAAGTGTGAGAAACAGAAACACCAACAGAGACAACAACGAGTTCTACCCGCTGACCGATCGAAGTTGAAGGCAAACTTGTCAAAGACAATGGAAGGGTAGGCAAGGGGCTTCA